AGAGGGGGAGAGAGGGTCACGTGACTCACGAGTTGGGCTCTATTTGGTAGAGGTTGGTTTGGAGCGCGAGATCCTGGCCGCGGAACCACCAGCGAATCGTGGCGTTGGGAATGGCGTCGGCCACACACGTCACTGCGGGCGAGAGCTGTGATTGGCGGTGGGAAGTAGAAGTGGACTTTACTCACTGTTGATTGGCTGTTGATTCCACGTCTTGACTGAAAGAAACGAAAGATAAGTCACGTGATCACTGCTATGACGGGGATTACCGGAAGTGATGGGCGTGCGACTCATGTCCGGCGCGAACCGCACTTCAAGGCTGAAAGAGAGCAGAGATTAGACGCGAATGGCATCACGTGACACTCACTGGCCCGCAGTCTCCACGACTCCGCCCCTGTTGTGCGCTCTGCAGAAGTAGAGGCCGTCATCGGAACGACGCTAAGACGACACGAGACGACAATAGAGACGTGAGAGACGACAGCAAAGACTTTGACTCACGGTTTGCGACAATCGGAGCGAAAGCACGGTTTCGTCGTTCGGCTGTTGTTGCGCGAGAAGAGAGACGCGCGGGTCGCCCAAAGCCAGAGCGCGCGAGTCGCCGTCCCTGCGGATCGAGATGTCGGGAATCGGGTCTCCCGTCGCCTATAAAAGACAGAGCGTGAGATGACGAACACGTGACTGACACGTGACTTACGCGACACTCGAGAAGCGATTCTTTGTTTTCGTCGAAACTTTGGTTCAAAAAGGAATTGATTTTCGGTTTTCTCAAAACCACAAAATTCGTCGTTTTTCTCTCACTTCCGGCCGAGTCTGCGGGAGAGCACGTGATTAAAGGAGCGCAACGGTGACGTCACTCACTCTCGGCGACGCACGTGAACTGGCCAGAGTCCTCCGTCTTGCGCACGCGCGCGATGATGAGCGCGCCCGAGTTGCGGTCCACGATGTATCCGCCCACTGACGACAGGTTGCGCTGATGCGGGTCCAACCACGTGACCAGGGGGGCGGGGGCGCCCTTGGCGGCGCATTTGAGCGTTCTGCGGAGAGAGAGCGGGAGTGAGCGGGGTAGAGCGCAGTCGAGCACAACACTCACGCCTCGAGCCCTTCGGTGCCCTCGAACTGTTGGTGCAGTTCGTCGATTGTGGGCGTTTCTGCGGAAAGACCAATCAATGTCAGTGTCACGTGACTTTCGTTATGAAAGCGAACCCAAGATCTGGACCGTGATGAAAGTCTGCGGAAGAGAGAGATATGAATTAAAAGCGGGAAAGTGACGTCACAGGCATTACGTCATGAATCCTTCCGGTCTCGGTGACGAGCGCGCGCACGCGGAACACGCCTGCAAAAGAGCGTTGTTATTGAATGCCAAGACAACAATGCAAACCTCCGTCCGTCTCGCGGATCTCGTCGTTGATTTGAATGCCGTTGGAATCGATTTGAAAGCGCGTCTGGGAATCCATGGCAACGCCGTCT